GTGTAGGTCAGCGTGTCCCCGGCGCGGCCTAGCGCCCCGTTTCCATGGTGATGGCGGGGAGGGCTGCGGCGGCAGCGCGGCCGCCTCCCGGGGCCCGGGGCAGGGTGTCTGCCGCCGCCGGGCCCGGCCGGCCCTCAAGGTGAGCGCAAGGTGAACGGGGAGGCGGCCGGCCCCGGCCGGAGCCCGCCTCGCTGGACCGGGCTCGCTGTCAAACCGCGGGCCCGGCGGGGCGGTGAACCGGAGGGCAGAGGCCCCAGCGGGAAATAAAAGGCCTTTCGTGGGGACGTGCTTCTTTCGTCCTCTCGTATTCTGTTTCTTGTCCTTCTCAGCGCGCAGCAGCACAAGGTGACCGACTCCTCGTTGTGTGAGTGAGCGAGCAAGCGAGCACAAAGGCTGTCTTTTGGTGACTTTGCTTCGAAAATCCCGCTTTTTAATGTGAAGGGAGGCCTCTGGGTGAAAAAGATGCTAGGGTCTCCATGTAAATGGGGCCTCGGAAGGCTGAAAAAGCAGCTGGGACAGGCACAGAAACTGCCCTTTTATTTCCAAGGCAGTGATAGCAATTCTTGTAGTCTTGTCTATTGTGACCTCTAAAAATCACATTTGCCTGTAATATGAGCTCGCCAGAGATTTGCTCACTCTAGACGTTATTGTCTTTAACCTGTCCTCCGTAATAAAGATTTCACGAGCCTTTAAAACCTGGAAGGCAAATGTTGGGATGCAATTCTCTTTTTTTAGGGCTGCTAACAGGGATGAGGAAGCCTGTGCTCCCCTTAATAAAGCACGTGATGAAGTCAGGCAATTTAACTTCTCAGTTTGCCATTTGTGACCTTGGCCAACATGTTCCGTTTTCTTAGGGAGCCAAAATGAGAACTTGGCTTCTAGTATTCGGACAGTACTTTGTGAAGCTCAATTTATGTTTTGTATTACTTCCCTGCCTTAGAGGTAGGTATTTTAGTAAAGCATAGCTTTTTTTAATTTAAGCAAAAGTTACAGCATAGCACCATTTCAGTTAACTTAGTATATTCATTCTTAATTATTAAACAGTTTTTAATTTGTACTTTGAACAGAAATGACTACTCATAAAATGAAGGCAAATGCCTTATTAGAATAATGAATTGGTTCTCGTTTTGTGGTGTGTCATTGCATGAGAACAAGCAGCTGTTTGCTAAAATTTGTATAATGTAAAACAAAGGCTGCGCTAGCACAGTGAATATGGGGAATTTAGTATTCTAGGAGGCTGTCTTCTATTAGCAGGCTTAGGGTACATGTTTTCTTTCTCTCAAGGACTAAATCTGTGATGGTAATTAAATATGCTTCTAGGTGATCTCTTTAGGAGGCAAACAATTTTTGCCCATGCGTAGCAGCCTAGAGTTTAATGAATATGAGAATCACCTTGCCAATCACTGTGATAGTGCCAGCATTGACCATGGCACATGTTATTAATGTCGGTTCTACTCACCTCCCGTCCTAGAACTGTTTTGGAATTGGAACTGCATAGGAAGCTTACCTCTGAGGGAAGTAAATTGGAATTAGCCTGGTTTGGGCTGACTGTCCTATTTAAAGTACAATTCTTCTAATAGCCTCGAATAGTCAAGATCTTTTTCCTGCCTATCTGAGAGATGCTTTTAGTAGCATCCTGTTTCTCAAGCCACGTTGGCTGAGGATTGACTGAAAGAGTAGTACTATAAGACTCTAAACCATCTGAAGTATCGGGGTTTATTGAAGGCCTGGTAGGTAAGTACTGAAATTATGTATGGGAATCTTTGTGTATGCTGGCAAAAAGCAGTGCTGGCTAGAGCTAAACTGATCTTCAGAACCCTAATTTTGGTTGCTCTTTGGAGGTGGGTCGAGAAAATTAGATGGCATTTACAATTTGATTATACCACACTGCTTTTTTTAGGCTGAATCGTGGTGAACGTTGGAAAGTTGGCCAGTGTTCTTGCATCAGGGAGGATGAGGAAAGATGGTATTTTGGGTTTCAGCTAGGATTTCTAGGACTGATTTCCCAGATTGGAGTGCATGTAGCACAGTTGCTACTCTTTTGAACATGAGCTTTTGCTTACTGGACTTGTCTACCATATCTGCTGCCAAAATGTGAGTTAGTTTCTGAATTCAGACACCCCTTGCATCTGGACCATTCACTGTAGTGAGCTAAATGCAAGACAGCTAGCTTTTCAAGATAAGCTTTTAAAATCTATAGAGGTAAGTGTTGGCTTCTTTACAGAGATTTCAAAAAATAATGACCCATTTACTAGGCTGGCTTTTTTGTGTCTTTTAAGGAAGCTTTTCACCTGCTAAAATACTGATAGTCTTAGGAGCCCTGTAACGATTACTGCCATTTCTTTTACTGAAATCTGAATAAGGACACTCAGGTGCTGGGGTAATAAATTCAATGCTAGATGAGAGAAGATCGCTTGGCAGCTCTTTGCTGGGTGGTTGGTCTGGAGATGAACATTTCCTAGATAAAAGGGAAAATGTGTAGATTGCTGGCTGCCTACTTCCCTTGGCTGTGGGTCTCAAGGCACCTCTCAGTACTCAGTAAAAAAAACTGCCACAGAAGCCCCCCACACCACCTACTATTTCAGGGAAGAGTGGGGGGAATGAAGCTGGAAACTGTTAGGCTTGTAGCTTTTCCTTAATCTTGTAGTTCTGCCATGCTGTTTCTTAGGATGCAGTGGAAGAAGGACAGGCACGGAGAATCGACAAGTGTGATGAGTAATATGTTGTAGATTCTTTGAGGAGAGATCAGGCTTTTGAACCAAGCAGTGTACGGTATTGTTCATTGGTGGTGGTGGATCCTTAGGCTTGCTGTGCGCCCACATGAGAACAATCATGTGGAATCAAATTAATTTCTAACAGAGCAGAGATGTGGGATGAGATTTAGATACCAGTAAAATGAAGGTAGCACTTTTTTAATAGGTGCCTTTTAAAAGTCTTATGTAGACAAAAATTATTTTCTAGTCTTCTGAAACGGATTGGCCCAGGTGATTATTTTTCCCCAGTCTTACTGGCCATCACTGAAACGGACCTTCAGTTTTCCAGCCTTCTCTTGCCAATCTCCATGTCCAGACAGGATCCTTCACCTCAGACATGCTCCCTTCCCACTTCTGGTAGCCTGAAGTTGTGGTCAAGCAGGAGTCAACTACTTTGTATCGTTACTTCTGTGATTATGATTTGAATAAATACTACATTTCATCAAGCCGTTTCATGAAGTAACAAGATACATAGACATGTATGTTCAAACGGAAAAGATTTTATCTGAATTTTATCTAGAAAGTTTCTTTGTACCTCTCTTTGAAGAGCCCTGCCTCAGATTTTTATAATAATCAGCTTTGGTTCCAGGCAAGACTAGAATGCTATGAAGCTTCTGCCATTACTTTAATGTGCAAATCCATTCTTCTGTATGCTGAATTACAGTGAAATTTAGCTTTCAGTTTACTGGGTGACAAGGAGAAACACTGCTAATCAGTTGTGTTGCAGGGTTGGATGGGGGGTGGGAAGAACGAATTACTGCATTAAACCAAAATACCGTTCCTGGTCTGGGGAAGAGATTATTTTTCCATGAACATTGATGAAATCCCTCAGTGTTTTTTCCAGCCACTCCAGCAGTTGGAGACTTTCACAAGATAATGGATATCTTGTGAAGTAAAGACATTTCCACAGCATTAATTGTGCTGGATAAATGCTTAATTAAAAACAAAAAAAAGGGGGGGGGGGAGAACAAAACAAACGCAGAAGTTATGTGGCTACTAGGTAAAGAGCAGCTTATGTATGTTAAACAATGAGAGGCTGGGTGGTGTTTGGTTTGTTTTGGGTTGGTTTTTTTTGTTGTTTTTTCTGGTGGAAGAAGGAGAAGTCTCAACTCTGACACCTGTGATACATTCTGGAAGTTCTAAGCTTAAAGTGCAGCACAGTGAAATTTGATGACTGGGTTTCATTTGCACTCCTGGAGGAGCAGTGCCCTCTCTTGTACCCCCATGTTCACTTACTTCAGTTATTTAACAGAAGTGGTGTGCAGCTGCTGTAGGTCTGTATTGCTCCTATCAAAAGCTGCGTAACTAATAGCTGAGGATTGTTTGGTAAAAAAGCAAACTACACCCTTATTGCTAATGTGCTGGCTATTATGATCTTGTCTAGATTTCCTGAAGTTTTTATTGTATAAGATACTAACAAATGTTATCAAAAGGACAATAAAGCAAGAGATTTGGATAAAAATTGGTGATGTCTCATTGATTGTGATTATTTCAGGCAATGTTTTCAATGCTGGTAACAAGAAAACTGGAAAAAATATTCACAAGGGAAAACTAAAAATCATTGAACAGATCTAAAAAATTGACTAGCATTTTTGACAGTGCAAAACCAGTGGTAGGTACTGTGTTTGTGTTCTGTGTGAGGAATATTTGCTGATTTACAATCATACATACAAAAGGGATATTTAGTGCAATAATGCTATGTTTATTAACCTGTACTTATAAAAACTTTGTAACACTGAAGTAGAGGATGAATACAAAAAACAGGATTAAGATTAAAGTGTAATATTGGAGGAGAAAGAACTCTGAACTCTTGTCTTCAGTCTGTTTCCAGACTTCCAGTGCTGATGAGTGAGACTTTCAAAGGATGTAAGAAATGCATGTGCCAAATCCTTGGAAGTTTTTATGGAGGTTGCCCTCTGACTCAGTTTGCAAAGCTGCGTGAGAGCCTTTTAACGCTGGGCACTGACCTGTCTCTTTCAGGTCAGGTGCTGTAAAGGTGCTTGCCATAGCCTGCCCTTCTTCCATGTT